ATCCGCCGTTATCGCAGACAGCGTCTTCAACTGATCCTCCCCATGCATCGCCGATAAGAGCAAAAGCTCCTATCATCGTCGCCCTCGAGCAACGCTTTCCGCGATCGATAAACAGATTTCATCGCGAAGTATGGAGCGCGGCAAAACGATTTCGCGCGGCTAAAGCAGCCGATCGAGAACCGATCCTGACGCGCCGAACATTCGAAGGCTTTTTCTTCGTTGCGTAATTAAACGCATCCTCTCGGCGACGATGGCTCGGCTTACTCACCGTTTAACGAGCGGACGATCGTTTCGTGTCTACCGGCACGGCGATCCGATGACGCCGCCACTTCCGTTCCGCCGATCGTAGAAACGTTTTTCATCTGCGGAACGAGTCTCTGTAATTCGCGGGCTTCGGAGAACTCGAAGATCTCTCTCACCGTTTGCTGAGAAAAACGCGGCGTCATGCGTTGACCCCTCGACGCGCGATTATCTAACGCCTTCGACTCGGCGCGCGCATTTCTAGTAGATTGTTCTTGATCGAAAAGAAGAGCTTTCATTGAATTTAATTGGACCATTTGCGGTTTAATTTGTACCTTGCAATTCGTTTAGAAACGCATGGCTTCGCACGAAGATCCATAGTCTAGTGACAAGTAGACTGCGGATTTCGTGCATTTGTGGTAAAAATGAGCATTTTCAAACGGTAAAGAGGTTAAAAGAATATATAAATATCATTTTCTTGCAGTAGAATTCCGATTATTCGGCATACTCGGGACTGGGACAATGTCAGCTTCCATTTTTTGCAATTGATGCAGGCAATTATTTTGCACAAAAATCCGCGATTCAGGGATAAGTATCTCACAATCTCTTCGGATTGTTTTAGGGACTAGAATGGCGGAAATCTTAGGCTCGCGAGCGTTACTAAATGAATAATAATAATGCTACCGCCAACAAAAAGGTTAGCGCGAAACCATTTCGTTTCCGGTGTTTGCCAGTATTGTTTCGCGATAGCTTGTTAACGAAAGAGTTCGTTTGTTACGAAGATCAAAAACGCGATGCTCCATCCAGCGCGATAGGTGAGATCCGATCGATTCGACGGTGTGCGTTTTATTCGGTTTTTAAACGAGCACGTGAAATTGCACACCGCGAAAACAGAGGAAAATCAACCGTTTTACACCGGCAGGAAATGAACGAACACGAAAAGCGGCGTGTTTAATTCGATTACGGATTGCTTTCAGTGATTGTAAAAGCATCGTAATTACCACGATTACAATTGCAGAACGCCGGGGACCGGCCAACGACAACGTAACACTCCCGATCGAATGAATTAACAACGTGTAATCAGACTTCGCGCGACTCGCGGCCGATCTATCTCGAAACGGTCTCCCGCGAAATCGTTGCCGATCGAAGTCGCGATCGTCCCGAACCCGAGCGACCCGTGATATATTGGAAAGCGGGGGTCCCACGGTTTTGGAATAACAGGTCCCGGTTTTCCCTCGTCGGCGTAATCCGATTTCCGTGACACGAGCGTCGATCCAACGTAATGAACGAATACGAACTCGAAAACCGGTGACAAATCCCCGAGGCTCGTTCATCCATAATTGATTACGTATCCCGAATCAAGCGAGCGGTTTCTACGTCTTCCCAAGGATTCTGTTTCGAGAGGGGGACGTAATCCGCGGGAGATGCGAATCGAAGGCCGTTCGGCCGATTGATTATCGCTCGCGGCGAGAAACGCTGTCGAATTTGATCGAGCTCGCACGAATCGCAACATATAAATCAACGGGATCGCATTGCCGGGATGCAAATGCGGCTCCGGGTTTGTTTGCCCGGGTTCGGTCGATTGCGTCGGCGGTTCTCCAATTAATTTGTCGTAATTGCGACTCGCGTCGCGAATCGATAATCCGGAACCCAGAACGATTCTTTATCTACGATGCTCGTTAACGAGGCCGAGTTCCGTTTGTTTCTCGGACACCCTGCTCACACCGCGACTTTTCGAATATCGAGAACACTGGAGTTTACGAGACACTCTCGGATAAACGAAAGTTCCCCGAGTACAACCCGGTTGTCTGTTAAAAGAATTCGACTGCGGGAAATGTTCTGCTCTGCAGAACCTAAAATACCTGTTTCGCGCGGCTTTCGTTTCCTCGGATCCGTATTTATGAGACCTGAGATTATTAAAACCAAAAAATTCTTTAAAGTACCGCACGATCAATCATGTGATTTATATTATATTTATTTATATTATATTTATATAATTATATTATTAATATATTATTAATATATTATAATATAAGTATTTATATTATTTTGTATCATTATAACGAAATGGAATGAAATAACAAATAAACAAAATCTAATTTATTCAAGAAATATGAGAAAAATCATTTTTTTCAAATCGAAGAATATTGTAATCTCTGCTGTAGAAAGATTTCAGAATCTTCGTATCGTGTATAGATCCACGCTTAGACTCGGTATCCTCAAAGGAACTCGAAGGACTTCAATTATAAATAAGAGAAATGAATAATCAATGTTAAAATAGTATAATAGCTCTTGTAGCCAGTTAAAAGATTTAACTTATGAGATAAGATTTATAAGATATATTAAGACCCTATTTATGAGGTAGTCGGCTGGCTACTCGGCTATCTTAAGAGATACCCGAGCATTTTTGCTCCAACCTAGGTATCTGATATAACCTAGTAAAGATACTAGCTCTAGAGCACACACCTCGACGATCGAGCCGAAGAACTTCGTTCGACGACCGGATCGAAGAGCTGTTCGCGCGGTTCGTGTGTCTCGATGATTCTCTTCTCGTTCGCTCGACTTTCGATTAAACGGCCCTCGGAGCTCCGTCTGGTGACGGGACAACAATGCGGCTGCGAGAAAGGCAATGGAACCTCGCCCCCGCCACTTTACATTCTTCTTCATTGTCTGGCCGTTAAAACGAGCCGACGTCGACGCCGCCGCCGACGTCGCGTCGAGATCACCGTCAGGGAAAGAAAAAATTGTCGCGGCGCCGGCGACGAGGGTGCGTCGCCCCCGTTGCAGAAACGAGACCATCGTTTCCGCGAGAACCGCAGACTAGACTCTCCTATCGATAATCTTACCCCTTCCGTCTTCGCCGATTCGATTCAATTACTCCCACACGCTGTTATCAGGGCTGTGCAATTAATTCCCCTTCGTCCCTCATTTTCGCAAACCGTTGATTTTGCTCCTCCCTCAAATAATTATACCTCTCCCATTTTTCAAGCTATTCTGCTACCAATGCTTGTTTCTTTTATAGAAGAAACTCTCCTGATAAACATTCTAAAATTATTACGTTTTGAATTATCCAAATTCTAAAGTGTTTATTCGATGAGAATGAAAATTTCCTACGTATATATCTATAATAATAAATAATCGGGTCACGTTTTGAAAGAAGATCAATTAATTCGTCCGTCGTTGAATGGATAAATGACCAATGCTGCTTTGTATGAAGAATAAATATATATATATATATATATATTATATTTATTATTATATATTATTATATATATTAAGAATAAATATATCTAGATTTCTCGCCAAATTTGTTATAACGTGAGCGATATATATAATATTGTTTTATATATTATATTTATTATTATATATTATTATATATATTAAGAATAAATCTACCTAGATTTCTCGCCATTTTTATTATAACGTGAGCTCGAATGAAGGGATTTATTCAATCGTTTCCTAAAAAAAGTGCATCTCTAGTTTCAACAAATTTAAAAATAAATAAAATAGAATCAACAATTTAAAATCAGTGCTAGAGGATTGTTGATCCGAGGCTCCGCATAAACGTTCTCTTTTGACTCGGACAATCGGGCAAAGTTTACGCGCGCGCGGTTTTGAACGTCGAAGAAAGTTTGTCCTCCGCTTTGGAGAAAATGGCGCAAGAAAGCGAGAACGGGTTTTGTTATCGTTCGACGCAGTTAATGGGTACATTACAGACACGTGTGCCTGTCTCTGAGTCATCGTTCCCCATGAGAACCCTTCGCTTACTTCCGCAAAGTCGATCGGCTCCGAAAATCCCGCCTTTATCAACAAGCACGCAGCAGACATATAAGTCTGCTGCGAGATACACAATCTCCGAGCAATTAGACAAGAAAAAAAAACATCTCTTTCGACGTTCGTAATCAAGGACTGGCATCCGTAATCGGCAAACGTACGATTAACTTTCTCCGATCGATCGAACCGTTAATTCAATTAATTCTATCAATCGTAAATCGATCGATCAAATTAATCGCTCCGGCCGATCGGACAAGGATATCTGAATTTAAATTAGCAACGTCAAGGAGATCCTGTTCTCTAAGGGCTATCTCACTCCGAATCATCCGCGGAAGAAAAGTCAGCTAACAGGTTAACGGGCGGGTTCGCATTGTTCGGCTAATGGAGAGGCTGTCACGCTTGATCAACGATACGGACACGTTCGCGTGCAGCATCCCCTATCAATCTCATTTAAACGAGCATCGACCGAACCGTTCTCGGAAAGAAGAGACGATCTCCGGAGAGACAAAACGACAGCCGATCTTCGATTTCTTTTGTCCCGCGTTCGAAACCGACAGAAAACAACAAGCTCCGTCGTTTACATGTGTGTCACGGTGCAAGCGTGACGTTCGTCACGCATAACTGCACGACGTACGACTAATCACACACATCGTACCCTTAGAGTAAGTATACTGACTAATCCTCATTAAGAATAGAGACACGAGAAGATTAGTCAGCGAGTCAATGAAAAATGTCTATGAAACGTGGTCGCGGCAACCAAACATTCTAGTAGAGAATGAGGAAGAAAGAGGGGAAATATATATATAGAGAGAGAGAGAGAAAGAGAGAGCGTGACCAGCGACGCAAACAAACAAACAAGTAACCAAACAATTGAGATGGACGATCGTTTCGCGAACGATACGTTTGGTGTCTCGAACAAAAGATCGTTCGAACAAAAGATCGTTCAGGCAAGAAAGAAGAGACAGGTAAATCGGAGCAAGACTCACCTTGGCCCTCGGCATAGACGTCAGACAGGACAGCGACCACTAGCAGAAACAGCACCAATTTCCACTGCACCGTTACACCACCGAAGGTGCATCGCGAACCCGAGCACCGGTTACCAGTCGGCATATTTCTCGGACGGCGATTCACAACGGTGTACACGAGTCTCACGCGAACGTCATTACGACCTTTTCTTTCTGTCTCGCGTCCTGGGTCCTCGCTAGCCCCTTTCGTAAAGCGCACCACACTATACTGATCATCCAACCCGATTCCTTAGCCGGTGCAGACTGACGCTACCCTCGCCCTCGCCCTCGCCGAACCACCATCCCCACCACCGGCACGTATCGAGCCGTCGAGGACCGCCGAGCGCGAGCGAACCTTCCCGAGTATGCGTCGCGCGAAAACCACCGCCATTTGAATCGAGACGTCGCCGCTCCCGTGCTGATACGCTTTGTATGAAGGGAAACGGCAATCGGGGGCCGCAGCAAACTGAGTCTTAAAATATAAAATTAAAAACTTTATGAAGTTCTTCGTCATTGTAACAAATACTGAACATTATTCAATATTAAAGAATTGTTACACGAAAATTATTATTCTGAACATGGTATTTATTTGTAATATTTACATGAATGTAATTCACAGTTCAAGGGTTGTTTGTTTCTTTTATAGAAGAAACTCTCCTGATAAACATTATAAAATTATTATGTTTTGAATTATCCAAATTCTAAAGTGTTTATTCGATGAGAATGAAAATTTCCTACGTATAACATTTGCTTTTGGTGAGAGTAAAATAAATAAATGTAAACGGTTCCATGAAAAAAAATAAACGTTTGCAGTTTATTTTGTTTGATCTATCGATTACGTTCGGTTCGATTTGCACGCATTTTTATTGCAGATGATTATCGAAATTCCACGCAGACAGCGTGCAATCTGTTTGCTATAAAAAAAAAATGATTCGTGTTCATCTGCTACGTGTAAATGGAAAATGCTGCGTGGAAATGTTTGCTCGTTAATTGGACTTCCAATTGCTGAAATTCGAAGGAAGAATCTTAGGTTAATATATGGAAACCATGCACAGATGCCGAGTTAACCAAGTCGAGTTTACAAGTCGAAAATCAATTTCAAATTCTTTTCTCGTCTCATTGTACAAAAGTAAATCATTGAACGAATTAAGTACTTGTAACGAAATAAACTGAATTCTATTCTTTTACGAGGCTTACAGATTCGAGAACGTTTCTAATGGACGCAGAAAATTTGTAAGACCTTCAAATTGTCGCATCCTCTTTCTACTCTTCGTTGCAATCACTGTTCCAACGAGACTTACGTAGGAACTTATTGGCAAGAACGTTCTTTGATCAGACTCCGCAATGAAACGTTTCTCTGTTTTACATAATTGCGTGGACGGCCAGGAAACTTCCCACGTATCGATCAAACAGCGAGGAAGGAACTCGCTTCGCTCATTGAAACTCGTCCAAATAATAATTTCCAAGTTCCACAATGGAAAATGCGAGGAGAGAAGTGATCAGGAGGATAGTGACCGAGTGCAGGTCATCGGACGTGCACGTGACCAAGGATTTCGCGTCCTTTTTGGTACTATGCTCAATCTTCAACCTCGGAAAACTGTGATGGCAATGCTTGGGCCCATTCAGACGATTCTCAAATTCTGTATCTTTGAAATGGGTCCGAGTACTGTCACACCAAGGTTCGATCAAATCAATCATCTGTACCCTAATCCACCAGACCACTCTGTTCCTATTGAATCCTGACTACGAGATCAAAGTCGGCGAAGCGGAGAGCAACGAGCAGCTGATCGAGGCAATTGTGAAGAAGATATCCGAGCCAGCGAGTTCCAGCTTGACGATCCTAAAGAGTCAACTGTACTTCGCGAAACATTATCGCGGCAGGGGTAAGAGATCAATTTTCGTGAATATATCCTTTATTTTCACGAGGTTTCATTTCGTAGACGAAACCGTGAAGCGTCACAGGTTGCGTTTGCACGAGAAAACAGGCCCCATGGTGGCTGAAATCTGCGAGGTGGAGAAGCTGTCCAGCAAGCAGGATTCCGAGAAACTGTACCAGAAGATGCTGGTCGTGATCACTGTGCTCAGTGGTCTGGGAAATCCTACGGTTCCATCGGTGCTGCGGTAGGAATCTCTACGAGATCTCTACGAGAATCTTAAACCAAGAATGCATCTCTATTGTTGTCCCGTCTAGAGAGGTCTCGGTGGCCCTGCAGAGCGTTTTTCAGCCCTCGGAGCTGGAAGCCTACGTGAAAATGTCCAAACGGGAGAAGGAGGAGCAGCTGATGGAGCTGATGTGCATAGTCGCAGGAATTAGGCTGTTCAATAGGGACTGCCAACGCGGAGGCGAGGGCATCGACGATCGTGAGTATGTTTCTTATTCCCCAGTGACTCATCGATGACGAAATGTGCTCGCAGTGCCTGTTATCCTACAAGAGGCCAAGAAGAAGAGCCACGACTCTGTCGTCGATCTTCTGCAACGTTTGATGCTGAAGATCTACAGGATCACAGCAGCAGTGGAGAAGGCGATTTGCTTCTGGGAAGCGTTGCCTTTCGGTGTTTTCAACACAGACAACGTTTACTGGCTGATAGGGATCTTGGCGGCGTGCAGGCAACAGGAGATATACGTCAGGTCTGAACAGTTTGAATCGCTTCAGGGCCGAGAGTCGGTCATTTCAATAAGTTTTCTTCGTATAGAAAGCTGCTGAGCGACGTAGAATGCAGTGAAAAGGAGGTGCAGGGCCTCATGGATCGTCTTCAGGGTCGGCTCTTTAAAATTCACGACACCGTCAGGTACAGGACTGCCATCCCCACGTCCCAAGTATACGTAAGCACGCGACTGATGCTCCTTTTCAGAGCTGTTCTTACAGCGAGTACTTGAAATCGCGTTTTCTGACCTCGTTCAGCCGCAATTCATCGACTTGGCAGATATATGGATGGGCCTGCAGGACGAGGTGATCATACTGAGCAGCGTCAACAGCTTCCTGTGGGAACTGCAGAGTCTAAACACCAGGGTAATTGCGGTATCTTCGTACGGAATAATAAAAATACGGACTAGGATCCTAATGTCGGCGAGATCAACGTTGAATTATACATCTTAGACGGTGAACGTGTTCAATGATGCGATCGTGGACGACATGCTGGCCAAGGGAACAGTTCCGACGGATGCTGAGAGATTGGAGCAGTCGATGGGCGAATTGATAAGTAATAAAACGGGCAATATATGACTTCGATAATCTCACGTGACCGGTAGCTGCACGTGCTGCATCGTGGCCTATGTTCGCAGCCGAGTGCGGCGAGTGCACCCTCTACCACCCCGACACCACCAAGGACTTCGAGAACATAAATCTTGAGGTGAGATCAACACGCGCGAGGGTTGTAATCAATGTTTGCAGAGAGTGCCGGGGCAATGGATGAACAAGGCGCCCCTAGGTTAATTAATTCGTCCTGTCTCAGTTCCTAGGATTTTGCGCGTGGACGTTCGTTTACGTGGAAGGAGCGCTGATCCCGGGAAATCCGAACAATGGGGTGGCGAAGTGGAAAGGGAAGTACTATGTGTTCTGCTCGAAGAGTGCCGCCAAACATTTCGGGAAGGATCCGGACAGGTAACACGAACGTTAGATCGAACCGTAGATCAGGCTAATCTCTGGTGAATCTCGTAGATGCATCTACCGGGCTCTTGATTTTATACGACACCATCCCGAGTACGTCTACCTGTTCCAAGTGTACGAGGACGTTCAAGCACTAAAAGCAGAGAAGTTGTGAGTATCTTATGCATCGTGTAGCTATCGGCGGATAAAGTAAGTAGAATTTCAATGCGACCTATCAGAGAGCCCGAGGAGACGGACCAGCTGAAGCTGTGCCAATCGCAGATGGTCCAAACGGACCTGCACATCCTGCCGCCTTCTATCGACCTTAATTATTCATCGAACGTGTGGGAGCTCAGAAGGAAAGCGTTGAATCTGGTGAGTGACGTTTATGCAACGGATAATGGCGAGATCGCTGGTCTATGTTTTCTTTCAGGCAAGCATAAGCCGATGCGTCACGCGCAGCACTCAAACAGATAAGTCGAACTTCCGATACGGCGTGTACGTGCAGGCTGCTCCACCTCGGGACAAAGAGGTGCAGACAAGAAGAGACAATTACATGAACACGAAGAAGCTCCTGACATATATCTTCGGGCTACGTGGTAGACGCGACGGCAATCAGCACGTTCTATCCTTCCTCGAGGATGATCTCGAACATGTTTGAACGCTTCGGGATCAATCAGAACGATTTTCTCGCCAAGGAATATAAATGTACAGAGGACAATTTGTTAAAAAAAATGAAAGCAATATCTTTTAATGACGTTCTCAAATACAGTCACGGAATATCAGGGCACAATCCGCACATCTTTTCCTTAAAGAAACAAACTTGCATTAGAATGTCATTCCGTGTGTAACGTGCGTCTTATTTTTCACCCATACTCCGCGTAGTCTTTCCTCATTCTATTCGTAGTGTTTTCTTGTTATTCTTTTTGTTGCAATGATCTTGTCTCTTCATGGCTTTCTCTCGAGTCAAGTTAGGCCAGCACTAGTTTCAATTTCGATTCAAAAACGCACGAATTTGTTTTTTTTTCTCTTTCTTTCCTTTAGTTTTACGTAAGGGTGTCTGCGGCCAGTATCAATTCCGTACCTCGCGCCATATGAGCCTATCTTATTTTCTACACTTCAACGTTGCGCAATTGCTGCACATACTGTGACTTTTCCTTTTTCTTTTTTTTTTAATATGCATACATCGTACCTTCCACTGAATATATCGCTTTTACCATTACATCTTAAGAGTTAGGTCAATTTTTTTACACCAAGAAACCTATATTACGACAATAATTAGTAATTACACGATAATACAATTAAATTTCGCTTAGTAATAATTTCATTGTATAATGTAGCTATTATACAGAAGAGGTACAGAATATTGATTTCTTTCTTTTCGCATTGCGTTGTTTTCTCTGTATTTTTTTTTTACCGCACGTTTTTGCCTTTCTACTTTTATTCACTCTCTCGTTGGTTGACAAAATCACTTGCCCTATTTCTTCTTTTTTTTCGTTCTCTCTGTGTTACATGTCCATTGTCGAAATATACAATCCATATTTTAAAAACAAAACGAATGAAAATATCGTGTTTCATTGGCGGCAGCGGTGCAGAGAATCCAAACGATAATTTGGTCTTCAACCAAAAATGCATTTTATAGTCTTCGGAAATGTTCGATTAACGGTTCATTTAACAGCTCTCCGATCGCTCGTTCAAACGAAATGTCACGGAATAAAAATTGAAAATGACCGTCTTAAAAAATAATTCAGAGCATATTTACTGCTTCGATTTCGCTGCCACGGGCGGCACACTGTATTTTCACGCTTGGCGGGAATGGGCGGCTCACGAGAGCCGCCAAACAAACGATAAAATATTAATCCTGAACATAGACTTAAAACCAGCTTACTGACTATCAGCCACTTCAATGTTTTCCACATTTCAAATAATCATCCGACTGTCCATGGTACGTCACTTCTCCGTTTTTCACCCGGCGTTGTAACCAAATTTCACCCGAATTCTTCTTATTTCGTGGGTCATCATTTGCATTAGATTGTTCTACGGCCACCTTCAGTAATGTTACACGGCGCCGTGATTTCGTTTTATTTTTTCCTTTCTTTAAAATAATGCCCATAACTTAAGATGCTACATTGTGAATGTTTCGTGAGAAGAAGAGACTACCATGGAAAACAGAGTGAATCGAAAACGGTGTAAACATGGCTAAAGTCTTAAGTCGCAATATGTTCTGTGTGTTCGTATGTATATGTATTTTTATGTATGTTTCGTGTGAGAAAGATGGAGAGATGCGATTTGCATCTTGGAATATGTTATACAATGTTTTTTTTATAACCTGTCGGAGATTGTGGCTCAGGGATGATTTAATCTACAAAGTGATTTTTGAGGTATTTCATCATACCGAAAGTTCTGAAACGTTTTACGCCAATTACTGTCAACAGTTCATCGTCGCAAATTGCGAACTGCTTGTTCTTGGGATCCTGGAAAAACAACGTATATCGTTATCTACTCAATCTCAAGATACTCTGCAGTTATTTTGAATCCCACCGAATTAGCCAAGTGAATGTCTTACAAAGTATGTTGTATGTAGATACCACTAGTTCCAAAAAAGTTGGTGTGGCGATTTCTGTGGAATTCATGTTTGCTAGGCCTGATACTTACATATAGGTCTCTTTCTTTAATAATGCTCCAAATCTTCTTAACGACCTCATGTCGTGCCATTTGCTCAGCGCCAACTACAGCAGCGAGTTCTGGAGATAGTGTAATGGCACGAGTGTAGCCACCCTTACCTGTACCACCACCACCACCTTTCTTTCCACCACCACCTCCTTGAGCTTTCTTGTTCTTGCCCCAATCTTCGTCACTATCGCTGTCGCTGCCCTTCTTCTTTCCTTTCTTGCCAGGCTTACCTGTAGCAAGAAATAATCGATCGTGAGAACACATGCAAAGAATCAGTTTCCAATATCTTGCATACGTACCCTTCTTGGGCGTAGCTTTCGGTTTCTTTGGACTGTATTCCTCATCGCTCGCATCATCATCGCTGGCACTCTCTTCGTCGTCGGATGATCCCTTCTTACGCTTGCTTATGGGCTTTTTTGCAGGACTTCTTTTAGCTGGTTTCTTCTCTTCTTCCTCCTCCTCTTCCTCGGAACCTTCCTCCTCTTCTTCTCCATCCTCGGACTCTTCACTAGCAGTCTTCTTCTTTTTCTTTGCTCCTTCATGTTTCTCTTGTAAACACTCCATGACTAGGCTATCTACTTCTTTCTTCCTGTGGGCATTCCAAATGTTTCAGTTAGAATGGAATTTGTGAGAAGTATCAAAAGGTAAGCTGAAATAAAATCAAGTCCAAATTCTTTGGCTCGCAAGCACTATTAATGTTAATTGATGTATTGATGAAGTGAAAAGGAAAGTAATGCTAGCAATTTATTTATCTATCTATTTATTCGATTAATTGAAAATGTTGAAGATGGAACGAGGTGGTAACCATTGAAGACAGTTCCACACAGAGTATCTTCTTTTTATCTAGGACACAGTAGAACTCACACTCGAATCATTAAGATTTCTAAGAGTGTTCATTGCATCCACATAATTATCTAGTCATTCAAAGTATTCGTTACCTTTCTGTGAGATCTATGTCCAATTTGCCCTCAATTTGTAGCCTGACTTTTTTAGCAGACATTGTGGTGAGGTCGGCATCCTTAAGGATGGCTGCAAACAGAAAATTGATTTTGTTTGTAAATAATGTTCTGCCACTTTAACATTTCAAATGCTTCGAAAATTCTTGAAATTACAATCATCGAAGTCGAAATAACGATTAAAAAGAGAGAAAATTGTGGTGCAGGTGTATGGGGAAAAATCTAGGGTAATGTGGTTTCCCGCGTCAAGCGGCTAGTAAATACTGGGCACAAATGGCCGCCGTGGTTCAACGCCGGTTACCGATTACCTGAGTATCGTCCAGGAAGCAATTTTCTGAAAGTAGCATACCCAACGAGAATTCATCGCGTCGACTTTGCTCACGAAATTGCCTACTTTACATCGGCTGATCGATTCGGATGCACCGGCGTGTCGAAAGTCAGAAAATTGGCAAAAGTCCGCGGGCATGGTACAGCTAAAGACACGACCTGCATCGGCGATATTCATTTGAATTCGTAAAGAATGTGCACTCGGAGCAAGGAAATCGATTGACAAGCTCGCGGAAAGCTTCGACTACGGTATCGCGTCGACGATGAGTATGCATAACGGCGGGAAAATACGCGTGCCAATAAACATTTGCACGAACGACGTACGCCACGGGCCTGCGAGTGTAACGTACGCGTTGAATCGTCGGAACCGAGCTATATTTGTCTCGGTGAAACGAAAAAAATAAGAAGTAAATTCGCGGAAATATCGGAGAAAACGGCTACGGTCCCGCATCCCGAGATCGGTTTCGCAAAAGTCGTCGAACAGAAGAGAAAGAGGTGAGATACGAAGCATGCGATGGCTTCTGGCGCGCGCCACCACAGTCAGTCGCGTCATGCAACGTACACTATGGGAGAGGAGAACAGGGAAAGCGTTCGGTACTCCGAAAACCGAGGGAAAACCGAGAAATTTCGTAGACGGCGAAAAATTTTCTGAAAAATATCGGGACTGATTACACGGAGCCATTTCGCGATACATCGCCCCGATGACGCTGCACGTACGTGGAAATATCGTATCGCGGTTGTAATGGCCGGCGTGGGGCACGCCACTTCGTCGCATACGTGCGCGCTAAAGTCGTCACATCGCAAGAGCAAAGAGCCCAATTTCCTACGTATTCCTACTCGCGAATCCACCGATAATTCGCGGCACACGCAAATACGAACCCGGTTTTCTAATAATCAGACGTCCAAGTACGGTAAATCAATGGATATTCCGACTTACCGGTGATCTCCTTGCGAAGTTCTTCGTTCGAGATATCAGCCATGGTCGTACTTCTCGCTGTGCGTACTGCTGCTAACTGAACCTACGCCGGCTGCGGACTCCTGTGTAGCGTCCGTAGGTACAGTCGCGTTAAACACCAACTCGATACGACGCACGTATACGAAACGACGAAAACGGATAACTTGTAAACGGTCCGTTAAAAACGAATACTATATACACCAAATCGTGTTAGTTTTTTCCAAGCTACAAGTTTCTCATGACGCCCCACCCGTAATTTTGCGATCGAACGACCCTATTTCGACATTCCGCCAACACGTTCACGGAATCGTTTTAGTTCTGTGTGTACCGCAAGCGACCGCTCGTGGCTGCCGGTGGCGTCTACGGTACAGTCGGCTCATTTACCTAGTCTCATTTCTTCCAGAAAATACATTTTCAATAATCCATAACGTTGTTCATCGACGATTAACCAGGATATTATATACACCAAATCGGGTCAGTTTTTTTTTCTCTACAAGTTTCTCATGACGCCCCTTGCGTAATATTGCGATTTAAGGGTACGAAACGAAGTTTCTCGCAATCCTTCCAATGATTTTATCGCGGCTGACTGTACAAAGCGACCACTCCGGGATTCGCAGCGTCGGGCATATAGTCTCATCATATGACAATCAGTATACATTTTACAGATATGTTAAAAAAAAAATATGTATTGGTTTATTAAATTTCGATCGCGATCACAAATTCGCGGCATAGCTACGCAATACATGAATCGTATTGCTATTGGGATGAGTCTTTTTCTCTGCTCTAGTTTTTCTGTATCAGCTACATCATCAACTTCATTATCTTTGCCTATCACAATTGCACTGTTCTGTTTACGAGACCTGGAATTTCGTACACCATTGAATGAAACGCATTGTAATTTTGTAGCTGCTGAAATATACTTGGAGTATACAAGTAGCAAACATGCTCTTATCATATCTAAAAATTGATACATTCATATATAATTGTATCCAATCAGTGCGATATTTTAATAGGCTGCAACTGTCGAAGCGACCACTCGGTTTCTTCCTCGCTTCGGTGGTACAGTAACGTTCAACACGTTCCGAAGGATACCTACGAGAAATCATGTTTAAAAATTCATAACTTTTCAACCGTTCATTCTAGACAGTTACTGTATTCACAAAATCGTGTTAGTTTTTTACGAGAAAAATATTTCTCAGGAAGCGCCTTTCATGATTTTATCATCTAACGTGTCCAGCAGAAGCTTTCAGTATCTCTGACGTAAATACTTTTGGCGCTAGCTGTAGCCAATCTGGCAGGTTCATTACAAGACAAATTTCTCCTTAAAATTCCATATAAGTTTATTTCGGCGAGTCTTCTAAAATATTTAAATAAATTTTTTGAGCCGATCTACGCATTTACATTCTTTTATTTCGATCTAGGAAACATATTTACTGATGACACGTCGGAACATAATGCCGCCACGGGTGTTTGAACGCTTCAAAATGGCGATTCCATTCTTCGCGGATTCATGTTGGTCAACGGTACGGTGAACACAATTATGGTCGTTATCGTACCCTGGCAAATTGTTTATCGTCCATGCTTACCTCCTCTATAATTCTATTTACATATTGCGTAAAAATAAATGCAAATATTGTAAGCAAATTACCATTATTGTTAACTTTCGCCGAACAGATATTGTTTTCCCTCTAAATTTCAGTTACTTCCGGTGCATTGACATGAATGATTCTTTAATCGTGAAATTATTTATGATCCAACTATTAAAGATCGTCAAATATTTCAGAACGAATTAAGAAAATTTTGTTTAATAATTTATTAACTAATTTGTTGCTTATTTGTAATGTATAGAAGGGAGGTTACACTTGTCCAGTTATCTTGGAAATATTGATATTTCTGGACTACAATTAGATTTGTTCCACCATCTGGCGGCACTATATACAATTCTTTCTTATTACGAGAATTGCACTACCTTTCGATGATAACACAAATCGTAGACTCAAGGGATAAATCTGTAATTCAGCGCCAAAGAACATAGTGCCAATATGCTCAAACTGGTAGATAAATTTTCCGACAGAATAAATACATTACGGTAGCGCTATCTGATGTGTTTGAAAATTAACTACAGTTGGTCATTCGCCTATCAATTTGAGTATTTTGCCACGGATGGTGTCATTAGTAATTAACGTTGTTTGGGATTTAAGTCGGTGAAAATATTCTTATTTCAAATCGTTTTAAGTCGTCAAACAATGTAAAAATAAATTTTTAGCATGCATGAATGTTTAGCATTTTCTGTGTGTGTATGTTATCTATAGAGTCAGTTCGGTAGGCGGTAAAAGAAATGAAAAATCTATGTGTACATGTGTACATGTATATTAACCACCCAGTAGTGACGACTGTTCTCCATGACGTCATCGGTCTGTACATCTCCTATTCCAAGGATGCAAGTTTGACGGGAGTGTCTTTTATTATTTAACAGCTTTGCGAAATAGTTTCGTTTTGAGGCAGTAGTCGCAATTTAGCATAATATCAGCAGTAAATAAAATGGGCTTTGCACTGTAATCGTCTGTGTCGGTGAAGTGAAATCGATTGAAAGATATAAAAGTACATACATCTCATGGAAACGCAACAAGCGTTGATGCACGAGGCACGCATCGATTTCACCGGGAAAACATGAGTGGCAGAAATAAGAGACAGAGCGACGCGAGCCCCGTGGCTAATAGCGAGTTTCAAGTGCAATGCGAATATTTTACTGGAACGGGTGAGTGACAAATTATCGTCGTTTTGTTTGTGAACAACTTTCAGTCTCGAACGCAACTCAATTGCGTTCGTCTCGCGAAAACCGCTGGAAAAATGTTTCCCTCTCTCTTTCTCTCTCTCTCTCTCTCTCTCTCTCTCTCTCTCGATAATCATTCCCACTAACAAAATCAATTTTTGTTTTCTACTCCAGAGTAAGTAAAAGATTCTTTCATGTTTTTTGCGTTTTCTATATTTTTGTCGTGCTATTCGTAGCAGATAGACGGTGGTGCATTTTTGTATATACATGTCTGAGTTCATGTAACACCTGAAGCTCACCACCTGTTAACCATTCTGTAATATAATTTCCTATATGGCGTTGTAGCATAATTGAACCAGATGCGAAATAAACGATCACAAGTTTCGATTCATACGTATCGTGCTTTGTATAATAAAACCTTGCTAAATTAGTAGCTTTAAAAACGAGTACATATGTATTAAGCCATGTCCTTTTCCATTGTCTGACCAATTCTTGCGTATACTACTCTTACGCATATCATTGACTACTTCAACATGAAATACACAACAATTTCAAGCAAATCTTTTTTCAAGTATTTTTATTATCACATTAGTTACACAACCCCTATCCTACTACCATATAGGAATAGAAATTATGTGCCATTCAATATAAATGGTATTATCATTGTAAAGATGTACGTCGGAAAACAAAGGGCATGGCACACCTGTAGATACGAAATGCCGGACTAGTGGAAATTGAAGAGTAGAGAATAATAAGCAGAGAGCTGTAGTGCAGAAGATAGAGAAAAGAATTGATTGGTACGTAGTAACAGAGCATCCTGCAGGAGCAAGTAAGGATAATGAGTCACGCTCAGCAGCATGTACTTGCAAGTGCAATAGTTCTTGCTCTCATAGTGGTCTTCGGCATCCATGTCTTCCTGTTTCCCATGTACACATCCAACCCACCAGCTCGTCATATTAAGATTTCAACTTATGAACAAGCTCTTTGTCGTACCACATTAAAAAATATCAGAATACCACCAGAGTGGAGAAATCCATGTCCGAAATATGGAATAGTTTCTGCAGTCCAAGGTGGCAGGCTTGGCAATCAAATTTGGGAGTATGCTTCGGTGTGGGCAACCGCCAGACGGACTGGCCTAGAACCATTCATGCCACGCTGTATACTAAGGACTCTAGAAGAGTACTTTGAAAATCTTAGTATCCCACCACTTAGTTACATTGGGAGATGCAGTCTAGATGTTAGCCAAGTTGTTAATTCTCTGGGACAATGGAATAGCACGGAGCAAAATATCATAATACCAAGGTAAATTATTTTTTTTATTGTATTTGATTGTTTTATACTTTAATGCTTCCATTGTAGACATGCGGCTTATTGGTCTCTCATTTTGGTGTGGTTGGATGATGTACGAAGAGAGTTTACTTTTAAGCTAAATTTGAGAATTTATGCAGAGAGAGTACTGAAAGAAATAGGCGAAGAATTCAACTTGCCTGAACCAACATTCGTAAGCATACACGTAAGAAGGACAGACTACATAGACTATTTGTGGCAGAAATTGAAAATTAGACCTGCTCCCGTTAGCTACTATTTCGCGGCAATGGATTACTTTGCTGGCAAGTATAGTAATGTAGTTTTTGTAGTGACTAGCGATAATATAGTTTGGTGCAAGTACAATTTGCATAGTAAACGACATAGAATCAAATTTGTATCTGATGTGGATGCAAGAGGTCCTGGCAAAGACCTGGCAGTTTTATCAGCATGTAATCACAGTATTATAGATTATGGTACATATGGTTCATTTGGAGCAATTTTGGCTGCTGGTGAAACTGTGGTGTACAATGTAACAACATACTTTTCTACATTGATTGCTGAAGTTTTGCCAAACTGGAAAATAATGAGTTGAACAAAAATCAAAAAGATACTTTTTACGAATCTCACATTAGAAATAACATGTGTACAAACACTTTATGAAAAATACTTTTTATACGGAGTATAAATATTCGTTTTATTCAACATTATTAAAACACAGAGAACACTCCTCTGTTGTTTACA